GAAAATGAAAATGAAAATGAAAATGAAATAAAATATTCAAATACAAAAAAATGCAAAAAGCCGCACTGCTTGGATCTGCACGCATATTACGAAAATACGTTACGACGTCCTAGGCCCCTGGGTGGGGCCCGACTAGTAACCAATGCCAAATCCGGTGAAACAACTGGCCGCTGTGATACAATTGCATAATAATGATGACTGAATTTCATGTTTAATGAATAAAAGAAATAATAATAATAGTTTTGAAAAAGCTGGGCCTAGGAATGAATCTTTTATCCATTTGAATGAACTCCACAACATTCTTCAACAAGAATAAAGGAATACTTACAGAACCTGAGTTCAGGTAAACATAAACCCTTCCTTCTTCTCTGACTTTACTATACATGGGTGCTCCAACTAGTAAATCTGAAAGGCCATCACCATTGAGATCCACCGCACAAACAGTAGCTCCAAAGTAAGAACCAAACTACCCACACAGAAGAGAAAATGGTTAGCCGTGAAATCACCAAAGGTGTATGAATGTATCATACACATTTAACAAACTTTATAAATGCAGAAGTATTATTACCTTTTTACCCCTTAATTCACTTAAAATTGATAGTTGTTTGGGTTCAATTTTAAAAATGTAAACCTGAAATAAACAACAGAGGACAGCTGCATCAGAGGCCCTAAAACAAACAAACAAAACCCCAGAAGTTTCTTCATCAGTAAAAGAAGCTAACAAAATATTGTGTTTCTACAAGGTGAAAAATGAGAAATGGCCTGAATGGAGCAACTGCCTGAGGCAATGGGGTTGCAGTAAGCCATAGCAATGTTCATGAACTTCCTGTTCCTTTGTCAAAGTGATTATGTTGCACAATTTGACCTAATCTTGCTTGCTGTCTTAGCTGAAATAGGAGAAGTTACTTCATCAGTTATAATGTAGGGTTCAACACTGATCCAGCCAGCTTCTCCATACAGACCAGTAGTAGGAATTCACTTCAAGCAGCAAAATGTCTTGGGTCACTAAAGTGCAACAGTGATCAACTTAGGAAAATCTCTTGGCAATTGTCTGAATTGGACACGTCAAGTCTTCTAGCAACAAAAAAAATGAACCTTCTATTAATACTAGGTGGATAAAAGTCTGAGGAACATTGACCATATCTAGCACAAATACACATTGGCAGTTGCACCCACTGAAACAAGCAGCATAAGTATACATGAAAAATATGTCCTTGGAAAACATTTGTGGAAAAAAATAGCCTCGTGTTATTACATTATCATCAAAGAACCTCTGGCCGTTAGTTCTTCCATGTCATTTTGCAAGCTATAAATTTATTTTTTACACAGAAATATTTTCATAATCTACCACTTTAAAGAAAAACCTCTTACTTTACCAGTCTGCTCCTGCTGGGGAGCACCTCCAATTACTTCTGAACTACTTGCAGAAAGGAAGTGACCTGCTCCAACAGAATAACCTATGCATAAAAGAACAGTGAATGGAAGCAGCGAGTTTTCAGGTGCAGCATTGTTTCATTGCAAATAATCTGAAATTTTAGATTAAAGGAATTCTTTATTTGAGCACTGATTCCCATAATTGGGAATGAGTGTGTTTGCATACAAATAAACATATTAAGTCTGTGCTTGTATGTCCAAAAGGTGGATATCCAATCCCTTTAGCAATCTATTTAGATACAATATTAGGATATTTCAACAGAATGTGGACATATGCTTCTATAGAATAATTCCCATTTATACTGCCCAAAAGGCAATCAGGTGACTCTGTTGTTTATCTCACAATATGGATGGGAATACATGCCACTATATGCTGAATTGGCACATTCGACATATCTTACTGAGCAGAATGACTGAACAAGGGGGGGGGGATGCTCAAATGTTTGTTTACACCAAAGTTAAAATTGGTAAGTTTGACTTATAAAACCAACTTCCTGGGTGTGTATATATATGCAGTTCAATCACTGAGAACTGCTTTGCATATGTCCTGTTGAAAATCTAAAAGGCGAATAATTTTTTTTAAAGAAAATGAAATAATCCTTTGAGTTAGAATTAAAATAAATAGATTTTCTACATAAAGAGTGCAATAAAGTAATGCATGCTACATTCTTGGGGAAAACGGAAGAAACTTCAGTATCTTAATATCAGCTCTGGTAGAATCTGATTTGCAACCCTCATCACATTAAACGAAAAGCACAGCACAAGAAATGTCTCACTCTCAAAATATTTTGCATAACCCCACAAAATCCCATATATAAGGAATGCAACTAAGTCCGTTAACGTTTTCCTTTTCTAAGAATACGAATGAAGCCCACAGAGGGCTCAAAGTTGTTTCTCTCCCCAACTCCCAATTTATTACAGTCTTAGACCAGAGACCAGAACAAATAAAAGCATTCAGTAAATATACAATTAAAAATTCTAATATAAAATAATAAATAACTAAAATCTGTAATAAAATCCAGTCTTGTCAATTATACATGGTCTAACTCTACTACAATTACAATCCATAAACTGTGTGGCCTGTTGTAGGTTCAGCGCTAAAAGGGAAAATCCCCTATGTCAGGAAGACAACAAAGTCCCTTAACCTTTTCTTTTATTAAGAATATGAATGAATATGAACTTTGAGGACTCAAAGTTAATGCTGATCATACCTGAAGCTTCTGCTTAGCTCCACAGCATGCTTGTTTCTCACTCACTTTGTTGAGTGAAACGTACAAGTTAAAATTAAACCAGGTAGGGCACTAAGAAACCTGTCAGGAAGTGCACTGCTCCCTAGAGCTGTGATGGCAAACCTGTGGCACACGGCGCCATTTCTGGGGGTACGTGAGGCATTGCCCTGTCAGCTCCAGCCCGCAAATGATTTCAGCCATGATTTTTCACCCTCCAGAGGCTTCAGGGAAGCCTTCTGAAGCCTCCAGAGGAAGAAAAATGGCCTAATGGGCAACTCGGAAGTCCGTTCCCAAACTTCCGGTTTGCGTGTTTGGCTCTTTGTCGCCCTCTGGAGGCTTCAGGTTGCTTCCCTGAAGCCTCCAGAGGGCGGAAAAAAGCCCAACGCACAAACTGGAAGTCGGAAAACAGACCATTTCCTAGAAAGCCTCTGGAGCCTGGGGAGGGCGAAAAATGGGTCCACTGTGCCATCGCGCATCAAAAGCGGGGGAGGGCAGTGGTCGCATGTATGTGGGAGGTGTGCGCATATACGGGGGAGAGCGCATAAATTATGGGTGTGGGCACGCATGCACATGACCACCCCCGCACTCCCCTTGCTTTTGGCATGCAATGGCAAAAAGGTTAGCCATCACTGCCCTAGAGGATCACCACCTTCCTTTTTTTTTTTTGTCTGGGAAGCATAGTGTCAAGGAGGTGTGTTAAGCTGAAGGTTCATATGCAAATATTAAATAAAAAAACATTTACCTAAATAACTTCCATACTTTATCTGATGACTCACATCCAGATATGAGATAAATATGTTTGCTGTTTTATTGTACACAAAGATGGAACCAGCCCAATAATCTGATCCTGGGGCTCCCATAATAATTAAATCCTAGAAGAAAAACAAAAAGGGTAAACCTTTAATAGAAGCTCCAGTAGCTATTCCATTGATAAATACATCCAAGCAGGTCAAATGAAAAAAAGGTGTTTTGTGAGCAATACACTATACAATGTATTTTCTCATATAAAGCATAAAAAAAGTTCAACCTCAGAGGGAAGGTGGTGAGTTTTATTATTGCTTTGCGTGAATAATCCCAGATCGCATTTTAATTTATGTTCTGTTAATTTCAAAATAGAAACGTTGGGCGTATACAGGGCATTGTATTTATTAAAAACCTTGCCACAATCTTACTATCTTTGCAACCGCAGCCCAGGATTACAGATTGGTCTTGATTGAAACTAAACAACAATATTCCATCTTTGCTTAGAACTCCAAGGTGCCACTGTGAAAACATCTGCTTCTCAGGAAGAAGATGCAGCAAGCAGCCTAGAGCAGAGGTCTCCAACCTTGGCAACTTTAAGCCTGGAGGACTTCAACTCCTAGAATTTCCCTTTGCTGGCTGGGGAATTCTGGGAGTTGCAGTCCATGAGGCTTAAAGTTGCCATGGTTGGAGACCCCCTCTTCTAGAGAGGACAACCTGAAGCAACCTCTTTTCAACAGCTCATTCCACTCATCTTTTGCCAAGGAAGGAGGTGATGGTTGGGGTTAAAAAGGGAGAGAGAAAGCTCAATCTTGAAGAGAATAAAGGAGAAGCTCCAGTTTGCAGATAGATGAAGCAGCAGCTTCCCAGAAAGGCCTCGTTTCAGACCTTTGAGTTAGCATGCAATAACTGCGAGTTTCCCAATACAGGTAGCCCTCAACTTATGATCACAATTGAGCCCCAAATTTATGTTGCTAAGTGACAAATTTGTTAAGCGAGTTTTGCCTCATTTTACGACTTTTCTTGCCACATTTGTTAAGCAAATCACTGCAGTTGTTAAATTAGTCTCACGGTTGTTAATTGAATCTAGTTTCCCCCTTGAGTTCAACTTGTCAGAAGGTCGCTAAAGAAAATCACATGACTCCAGGACATTGCAACCATCATGAGTCAGTTGTCAAGCATCCGAATGTAAACCATGTGATCATGGGGATGCTGCAAGGGCTTTAGTGTGAAAAATGGTCATAGGTCACTTTTTAAAATGTTGTTGTAACTTTGAACTGTCGCTAAATTATTGTAAGATGAGGACTACCTGTATATTACCAAACTAAACCTATTTTATTTCATGAGTAAAATAAATAGCTTCAACAGTGAAGTAATAATCTTAACTTGCGCACCTGAGTGTAAAATGTTGATATCCCAGCCTGACAAGATCCATATTTTTCTCCATATTTTCTCCAAAAATCTGGATATTCACCATGTGATTCAGAAAAAGAACATATTAAGGCCAATGAACTAAAAGAATTAATTCTTCACAAATATCACATGCTTTCTACGTTTTGACAAGCAAATTGAAATTAGCTAAACTATTACCTGATGGCAAGATATTATCCTTACAAATGCCAGAAGAATAAAGGTTTTTTAAAATAGCAAATTTTTCAAAAGAAACCATCACTACCCAGTTTCATTTCCAGAACTCTAGTTCAAATAATTTAAATAATAAAAAGACTCATTATGGAAAACATTTTCCTAATAAGTACATATGCTATGTGGATTTTTATTTGTTTATTTTCCATTTTAGACTTCACTGACAAGAATTGTTTGAATTGCTGTTTTCTTACATTCCCTTTACAATTTCAGACACAATCTGGTGAAAAGAATATGAGAACGTTCCAGGTTGGTAAAGTTCAAAAATATTCTGGGACCCCTGATCAAGATGTAAAGATCTCATTACAGAAAACTTGTTCTGTTCAAGTGGATTTTTCTCTCTCTAAAACTCTGTTTATTCTTCCAGGCCTTGGCTCTGCCTCAAATGAAGACCAGCTTGCCTTGGTCCAACTAACTTCCACTTTTGGTGTAAATCAGCCTGGGGAAGGTTGTCAGATAATCTAGCAAAGAGGAAACCAAAAGAATTTTTTAAAGTTATAATGGCCAATATCTTGAGGAATCCTGGAAAAACTAAGCAATGTGATGAAATTTTATTATTATTGTCATTTTTAATGGGCTTCTGTCCATAGATGGAACCCAGCTGTATTGGGCTAAGTTCAGCCTAAGTTCAAGGAATCCTAAGACCTTTTTTGCTTCATTCCTATTCATGTCTTCCTATGGATACATCGGGCAGGAAATACTAGAAGAGACACCAATCATGCTTTCTTTCCAACACAGCCTTAACATTTCCTTTTATATAAATAATTGTAATGCACCTTTGCAGTCACACAGAGAGATGTACTATAAAATTCCTTTGCAGGATTTCCAACCATGTTGTTAAATAAGATAAACACAGACTGCATTCAACGCTGCCTCAAAATACATGAGGCTGAACATGAAGTTTTACAGGTTGCCTCTTCTCCAAATTGTTTACAATTCTATTTTCTATTATTCAATAGCAAGATCTTTTACTTACCTTTATAGCAAGGGCATATTCTTCGACTTAACAAGGTTCGAAAATTGGGAGGTACCTCGTAACAAATGCCATGTGGAAGTTTGTGTTCTGAAATATAATACACATTTTTCCACCTGTGCCCACAGACCTAGATAAAAATGAGACAGGAAAATGAGTATGGCGATTGGGGAAAAAATAGCTTGACAAAGGATAAAACTACTTTCAGAGCCACAAAGTTAGGCTATTAATCCATCAATCAAATCCTACTATAGGATTTTAAAGAAAAATGTTTCAGAAATGCAGTATTTTTGCCTGTAGAGCTACAGCCCTCTGTTTAATTTGTTATCGAACAAGAGACCTTTCCCAAATACTTCATTTACCCACGGAAATGCAAGATAATACTTACAACAATAGAACCATTTTCTCCTGGCTGCCTTGCTAGGCTCACTCCCAACCACTGATTATCTCTTTCTTCAGTGCAGGTTTTTCCACACCTTTCGCCTTTTGGATCACCTTTAATAATAATAATTTTAAAAAAGGTTTGAAAGTACTCAAAGAACAGTAACTTTGTAGAGTTATTCTTTAGTTACAGGCAGTCTTCAAATTGTGATCCTAATCGGTGTTGGAATTTCTCTGTTGACCCTTGATTGAGTTCCAGCCCCACTAAAGTTGAGTGCATGTTGGGTTCTTTTAACTTGCTTTGTTTCCTTATTTTAAATTTTATAGTATTTTTTTAAAACTGTTTTTATGTAAGCCGCCTGGAGTCCTTCAGGATTGGGCGGCATACAAATTCATTAAATCTTGAATCTTGAATCTTNCTAGAGTGCAGATTTCACATTTCACTAAGTCACGAACAAAATTAAACAGTGTTCTCGAGCTGCATGTGGTCTAGAGAAGGAGCAATAGAACAAACAAGTCCTGTTCATCAATACCCAACATGTTTTTCATGATATGACCATCCTATTTATTATCATGGTGTTCTTCTGGACCAGTGGATTCCACTGGACCCCACCAGTGAAGATTGTAGATTGGAATCACCCTGTTACATTGGCTTTTCTCCTTTCTTGTTCCAGCCCGGGACACAAACAGCCAAGCTCTGCTGTGAAGTGCAAGAGGACTTGGTTCTCTCCGTTAAACAATTTAACGTTGATATGATACCATTGGCAAAGTCAGCAGCCAGTCTGGGAGGAAGGATACTGCACACTGCTAGTCCAGGCTGTATAAGGTTACTGTGGAAATCCTTGCCCAATGTCTTGAAGCTATGACGCTGGCTCTATCCCGACTTCAGTGTTTACTATAGACAGAGGTGCAATTCTCCCAAAGGAGTGCTTCATTGTTTAGGATTCTTCCTGGTGTTGCCTGCTAGAGAAGCTAGTGGAGCATTAGAGTTGGGAGGCTTTGCCCAACTTCAGTTGGTGCATTAATTGAAAGACCAGATCTTTTCACTTTTTTGATCAGGAAGCTTTGACAACTACGACTCATTCCCTTAGCACCCCAATGCACTCTACATAAGACTGCCTTTGATAATTTGGAAACTACTACTCTTCCAAAATGTGATGGTCTCCCTACTAACCTGCTAAGTTGCTTCTGATTCCAATTCAAAGTGCTGGTTATAAACTAAAAAGATTTATGTGTCTTATCTTCTAGGTCCCTCTAGAATTATTTTGCCCACAACTTCTGGGGAACAAATGGTAAACTAGAGACTGCTCCACTAAAAATGGGGTTGACAATTGCAGTTGAATGACGAGTTGGCAAGGGGTAAAGTTCNGTGTGTGTGTGTGCATGCTCTGGGCACTAGGCTTGCCTCCACCACTGCCCCTGGCTGCTGCAGGGAGGCTATGGTGACAGAACACAGAGACCTCTTCATTTTGGCTGTGCTGTGCATTCCGACAGCCAAAAGGACAGAGAGAGGGAGGGATGGTTGAAGCAGGATGCAGCAATGGTCATAAATGATGGCTGGATGCTAAGCGCCCAAATATAGATCACGTGACCACGGGGATGCTGCAATGCTCGCAAGTGCTAGGTTTTAAGTCCACTTTTTCAGTGCTGTCAGAACTTTGAAGTCACTGAACATACTACCTCTGCTTTGTCTATGTGAAAATAAAATTATAATTAAACTGGTTACGTTTCAAAATTACACCATAATGGAGACACACTAAAAGAAAATGACATTGCATTTAGTGCAGGGGCTCTGAAGCTTTGGCCATCACATGTCCTTGTAATCTTAGTTAATCTTGATCCTAAATATAATCTTTATGTAAAAATTTCTCCTAAAAACCTAAACATCAAAATGAACACCAGCGGAATAATGAAAATAAAACAATGAAACCTTGGAAAAGATGGCTTAATGTAACAATGCAATTAAAAGGTTATTTACACTCACCCAGGCTGCCTGCACCTGTATTTATTATGCATTTGTATGTGTTCATAAATAAAGTTTGAGTCAGTAAACATAATTCACCTACTAAAGTAGTTAATAGCTATCCATATAAAATCTATATATCATATTTTTGGAGTATAAGACGCACCTTTTCCCCTCAAAAAAGAGGCTGAAAATCTGGGTGCATCTTATACATCAAATACAGCATTTTTTTGCCTCCTGAAGCCCCAACCCTTCACAAAAATGGCCATGCAGAGCCTGTAGAAGGCTTTCAGAGAGCTCCTGGGGGCTGGGGAGGGCAGAAATGAGTGAAAAAATGGGCTGTTTTTTACTCAATTCCCCCCCCCCACCAAGTTCCCAGGAGCACTCTATAAGCTTCCTAANTTGCTCCTAATAAATGACTGGATTTCTTTTGAACTTTGTCTCACGGTTCATAAATTAATTAGGGCATCTTTTGGAAACTTTACACCAGCTCTCTCCAGACAAGGAGAGAACTTGAGATCGCCCACAAGTGCCCTTACAGCTGCTCCTTACAGTGACAAGACAAGTGGTGAGTTTAAAGCTTTGGAGACAAGGGAGTAGTCATATTTGCTCAAATCATGGTTAGTGCCTTTTCAAAGGTCACAGAATTTTCATTCTTAATTATAAGACTCTTTCCCCTCAGAATAAGCTGTTATTTTGAATTCTTAAAATGATAGGATGGAACTTTTGAAGGCTAGACATTAGAGGAGCCAGAAGAAACTAAAGATTACAATGAAAGGAGAATACTTAAATTTGATTTACTAATACAGAATGGAGCAAAATACTAATATCATATGTAGGTATACTGCACTAACATTTGTATGTGTTTTGATCTTCTTACCCCACTACTAAAGACCTCTAATAAAACTATATGTCTGGTTTTATTTTTCCATTTATTTTTTTCCAAATTGTCAAATTCCAGTACATTAGTCTGGAAAAAAATTAGCATAGCAATGCTACAATTTTAAAGCATTAGAAAGGTCTGTTTAATTCAATTAAACTCAATGCTAAGTAGATGCATATGGGACCATGCATATTAATTCATTTACATATAAACAGGCTGTCTTTAAATTGCTTTTTAGAACTTGTGTGTTCCATGCCAGTTCTATTGTATTTTATTATTTGCTTCATAATGATTTTTATTTATTCATTTAGGTTTATGTCCCAGACAGATGGACAAGAAATAAAAAAAACATTGCCCAAGTGATTTAAAGCACAAAAAGTACTTAACTCACCTGAATACCCATTGCTGTCTACATCAATTCTCCCAGATATGGATTGACCAAACATGCGTAAACTGTTGCTGATTTGATGTCCTTGAATTCTCTAAAATTATTATTAAAACAAAAATAAAAAAGCTGCAGTAGAGAAATAACAGAAAATAAAATAATCCTTCCTCCATTGTGGGAGCTTTGTATTCAGTGCTAAGCAGGGGTGAAATGCTACTGGTTTTTACTACCGTTTGCCCGAACCAGTAGTAAAAAAATCTACCAGTTCAGGAGAACTGGTAGTTCCGATGATCAGCTGTGCGACAATCACCTGTGCTGCACGATTTATATTCACTAGAAATCATGTGGCATAGCTGATTATCACACAGCTGATCATCGGAACTTTTTAAAAACTTAAAAAAAAAGTTTTAAAAAAGTTCCGGCAATCAGCTGTGCCACACAATTTATATTCGCTAGAAAGCAGGAAATCCTGCTTTCTAGCGAATCTAAATCCCGCCGCACAGCTGTTCCCACCTCCTTGCTGTTCTACTTATTTTTGCAGTCTCAGAAAAGGCTTCTTAGCGCCTATCGTATGTATGTGGGTGAAGCGCACATGCACCCGTGAAGCAAACCGATAGCAAATTTCAGAGCATTTCACTCCTGGTCCCAAGAATAAATGATGATACCTTCAATATCCCAAACATCTTGTTAGGATTAGGTAAGCTGGCCTGAGAGCATCCTCAGATTGTCTATTAGGCCAACACATAATTGACCATATTCTTAAAAGTTAAGTGGGAGGAGCGGGGGAACGACACAGGAAAAGTTGCACTGGTTTCATTCCATCCACATTTAAAGGAATGCATTCATGAAATAATTAATTATAATTACACAGGTTATAAGTAACATTAGTTACTTTGTCTTTTTTTCTGTCTCATTAAATATTACAATTTGGTAACAACTTTGGACAGGGATGGGATATGTAAAATATTTTCAACATCTACAGGTGGCTTTGGAACTTAGCATATGCATTTCTGTTCTACAAATACTTTTGTGCTGCTACCTTAAAATATTGTTAACACAAGCAGCTTGTTTCTACATTTGAGCTGGACTATTTGTGAACCATTAAGTCTGATATTATGACTCACTTAGATTTGCCATTCAATACTAATAGAAAAGAGTTGATACAAAGCGTTTTTTCCATTAATGGCTGATAGAGGAAAGGGCTGTTAAGCAAGTAGCAAAATAGAGTTAGCATGCATGAGGGTTTCGATTAAGAATTAACACTGACGGCACCAAGTAATTGGGACAATTAAGATCTTTGTTAGGTATTCAATCCTTCCTCTTTCTCTGCCCCAGCTTACTCCTACATTGCATGTGTAATACAGAATTTGTGACTGGGGAACTATTGTGTCAATGAATTCCTACCCTGCATGCTTTCCGCTTCCATGTTCTGCTTAATATAAAAAATATGAATATGAGAAACTGATTTATGATAGCTTATCTAGTCCAAATTGGCAATTGTCTTCCAGAACTCCATGCTGGAGAAAACCTATCCAAACCTACCTGGAAATATTGAACAACTAAACTGGGGTCCTTGACAATTGAGCCTGCTTAAACCAATGAACAGCTAATCTGTAACAGCGTGATATTAAAAATAGTAGTCACAAGAACAATTTAAATAGGCCTACTTGTGAAAAGGTTGGTGATATTCCATCTTCTCTGCCATTGTATATATAAACCGAGCCTTCTAAATCATTTTCTTGTGGAGCCCCAATGGCTATATCTGTTTAAAAAAAAAAAAGGAAAATTAAATTAGACATGCATTAATTACATTGTACAATTATTATTTTTAAATAAAAACAAAATTATGACTACTATAGATCCCTCCCTTCAATTATTTTTTA